CAGGGGGCCTGAGGCGGAGGAAGGGCGGGAGGGAGGAGGGGGGGGGGAGGGGGGAGGGAGGCGGGAGGGAGGAGGGGAGATGGAGGCGAGATGGAGGGAGGGTAGAGAGCTCGCAATGAATGGGTGCGGACAACCTTATGCCCCCCCCGTCCCGCGCAAGTGGATCTCCAAAAGGATCCAGACCCTGGACTCCTTATCCAAGGCCTCCACGGTCTGTTAGCGGGATGGGTGGGCGAGGCGAGACTTTGACAGAAGCGGTCCGTTGCACCATCCACCTCCACGACCATATCTTCCTTGACGTCCGCCACCTCATCCTCCTCCGTCCTCCGCAACAAGCACCTGCTCGTGCACCTTCTCAAGCAACACCACCCTGGCACCCCCTCCTCCTCCTCCTCCTGGCCATCCTGGTCCTCCTCTTCCTCCTCCTCCTCCTCCTCCTCCTCCTGTTCGTCCTCTTCCTCCTCCTCCTCCTCCTGGTCCTGCTGCTCCTCCTCCTCCCTTACCTCCTCCTCGTCCTCCTCCTCCACCTGCTCCTGTACCAGATCATGAATAAGACGCGGCAGACCGCATGAATAAGACGGCGCCGATGCACCTACTTCCGCGGGCAGCTTGCGCGTGGGTGAACGCGCAATCGACCTCCGTGACATCGCCTCCACAACTTCAAAGTCGGCGTCCTCCTCGCGGCCTCCGGGCGTGACCCGCGGTTCTCCGCCGGGACACTGCAGTGGATTCCACGTTGCTGCTTCCGACTTGTGATAACATCCATGTTACGAACGTATGAATGTTGTGAGGAAGTCTCAGACGAACTTACATTTCGGGGTCGTCTCGAAGGCGATCCTGGGGGTCATATTGGGGCTTGTTTGGGGCCCTTTGGGGCCGTCTTGATGCCCTTCAAAATCATTGCAGTGCGATGTTAGACTCCGGGGATGTCCCTAGCGAAATCGTAATTTCCAGAATTTTTTCCCCGTGGGCTTCCAACCACCGTGACTTTCCCCACTTCGGGGGCTTGCCAACAGCCTGCACGTGGCGCTTACAGGCTGCAGCAAGAAAATAGCCCAGTGCCGCCAGAAAAAAGATCCACACTGGGGCTCTCACCAAACGGGGATGGCCTCCGAACGCGCCAAAGAGTGATTCACAAATCGTCTGGTCAGCGGAACACGCACACCTACAATGCGTGCGTGCACACTGGGCCGGACGGCACTAATCCGAGTCGTCCGAAGCATTGACTTCAAGTGAGCTTGGGGCTGCCTGCGCAGCACCTGCCGCGCGGCACAAACGTTGAACCTTATCCGGGACCACCGCGGCGCTAGGCTGCGGCGGGTCAACGTCGAAAAAACTAGAACCGTCACGGAAATTTACATCCGCCTGGACCGCCACCCCCCGTCTCTTAGGGTGACGGCCCTGACATATCTGCTGCCACGCCCACACACCAAACTTACCTGGAGGAGGTTCGCACTTGGCGTGGAGCCCGCGCAGACTGCCGTGGGAAGTGTAGCATTTACACCTGATGCAGATAACCAACTCAGGCCCGTCACTGCAGGGAAACATGACACACCTGTGCTCTAATTTATTAAGGCTGGCGACGCTCCACGCTGGCTGGCTTAGACCATCGTAATTTTCAGAAGGCTGGCTTAGACCATCAGGAAGCCTTTTAGGAGCGATTCCAAGGCGATGCTAGAACAGCAGTTTTCAAAACGATGTTGCTGCATTCGTTCATTTGTTGAGCATGTCCCCAGCGAGAACGTCATTTTCGACAGTTTCCAGGGCGCTATTGGAGCCATCTTGGGCTCCTTTTGGGGCTCTCATTTCCTTATCTTCAAGCACTTCGAGAACGATGTCGAAGCGATGTTGCGAACATCTCATTTTTTGAAGATGTCCCGAGCGAAATTCACATTTTCTGCCATGCTTCTTGTTTTCGGTCTGCCGCGCCCCTCCCGATTGTCTGAGGATGTTCCGAGCGAAAGTGTCATTTTTAAGTATGAGAGGCAATACAACAACTTTTCCAACATATCATTTTTCGACCGGTACAGTGCAGGCCAGTCCACAAGGAACCTTTCACAAGATACCCAACCCTGAGGCCCCAGTACGCCCATTGATGTTTGATGTAAGGGCGTCACGTTTTCAATCGCAAAACCTTTAACTGCAGCGATCTATATTCGCGCCCTCGCGCCGCCCGCCTTGAGAAGGACAACTGTTCTGGCCCAAACCTGCGACGCGCGATGCGCGAGCATCTACGCGTTCCCTGAGGGTGACCTGTCGAGGATCCCCAGAACGTGTGCTAGCCCCAACGTGTGTTTGTCCATCGAGGCCCTCCGATAGGACGCAGGCGACGTAATGATCTACTGGTTGGGCTGAAGGGGGTCAAGACACATTGGGCTTATGATTTTCCAACCTACTTTAGCCTTGACTGCCAGAAAGAATTTCGAACGCCAAGGAAATACCAAATTTCAAGGGATTTCACGTGTCGGGCCCTGGGAGGCGACGCTCGTTCGGCACTGTTTCGACACTCTTCTGGGTGCTCGGAATTATTTCTGGGATGTGGTCCTTACGTGCGATGGGAGCAGCATAGTATTGGGCTAACACACGTTCTGAGAATCATCGAACCTGGGTCGCGACAGCCATCGCGCGACCACTTGGAGCGCCGAGTGAGAAACGAAGGGTCTCTCCTGGGCCACGGCGAGCCTCGGCCAAGAGAAGGCTCCCCGACTTGGCTCGGAGGAGCGGCCTGCCAAACAGAGCCCCTCCTCCTCCTCCTCCTCCTCCTCCTCCTCCTCCTTGTTCTCCTCCTCCTCCTCATCCGCCTCCTCCTCCTCCTCCTCCTCGTTCTCCTCCTCCTCCGCCCCCTCTCGAGCCACTCGCAGCGGATCTTGCAGGTCGTACCGCACAGCTCCTTTGCGGTCCTTTCGACGTGGACCCCCTCGTACGGATGTCCTGTCCTGTCCTCCCGAGCCAGCGCGCTTCCTTTTTTCTGAAGGGGCCCCAGGACACACAAATAAATACACACAAATAAACATATGCCCCATATTTTCCCATACTTTCTGGGTTTTTGTCTTTCCCCACACTTCCATTATTTTCCCATATTTTCTGGGGAATCGACGATTCATTGTGTCTGTGTGCTTTTTTCCCTCCTGATTGCAGTCGTCGCGCGACGAGGGCACCGGATCGGGCCTCGGGCCCGATCGGGAGACGAGGCTTGGCGCGTGGCCTCCCGGGCGCCGGCAGGGCACAGGAGCCGAGCAGGGGATCGACTGCGACACTGACCTACCCCAGAATTGATGTGTTCGCCGAATATACGAAAATACGCGAAATTATTCGCATGTAAGTGTATACCTGTATGTATATATCTAGAATGAAGAATAGAAGCATTCGCGCGCTCTCTGTTTCTAGGTCGCGTCAAGCATGGGGAAGGCCCAGACTCATCATGTCTGATTCCTCGCTTCCTACTGGTCAGCTTACTTCACTCAACATTTCGTGGCTATCGTCTCCCAACTTACTTCTCGTTGCCTCCTCCTGCGTTATGTTGTTTGTCTTAGCCTTCGTCCACATTATGGTCTCCTTGTCCTTCATCAGTCCCTCTCCCTCGTGTTCCGTTCTTCCTGCCTCACCCCTGCCTTTGGTGTCTACGCTTCCCTCTCATTTTCGACCTTGTGTGGGCGGGCGCACAAGCTGTACGTGGCCGCTCGCTTTCGATCGTGTTTCGACCTCCTTCTTTCCAACACCCCCTCCTCCTGGTGACGGGTTGGGGATCGAAACTTGTTCGCCAGGGTTAAATCGACGGCCCATAGAGGCCTCCAAGACAGTCTGAGAAACCATCAATACAGCCCAAGAACAACCCAACAACCCAAGAGAATCCCAAGGCGGCCCCGCGATGATTCCAACACTGCCCCCGAAGAGCCAGACAACGCAAGAACGCTCCGAGACGGCCAGGACTGCCCCTAGAGGTCCGAGAAAAAACAACTCCCAAGAGATCCCCAGAGGCCTCCAAGAAGGCTCCACAAGCCATAGGAGTCCACACGTGGACGAGCGTCCTGAGATGCCTTACTGAGGCGTCCAAGACGATCTAAACAACAAGCAAACCAGCCCAAGAGCAACCCAAGAGAGTCCCGAGGCGGTCCCGAGATGCTTCCCACACGGCCTCCGAAGAGCCAGGCAGCGCAAGAGAACTCCAAAGGCGGACAGGACTGCCCCTGGAGGCCCGAACGAAACCTCCCAAGGGATCTCCAGAGGCCTCAAAGAGGAGGCACCGCAAGCCCCTGGGAGTCCACACGTGGACGAGCGTCCTGTGATGGCCCAAAGGGGCCTCCAAAACGGTCTAAGAAGCCAGCGGCACAGCCAGAGATGGCCCGAAGAGAGTCCCAAGGCGGCCCCGAGAGACGTCTAACACGGCCTTCGAACAACCAAGCAGCCGAAACACCCTCCAATACGGCCAAGCTGCCCCTCGAGGTCCGAACAAACAACTCCGAACATATCTCGAGAGGTCCCCAAGAAGGTTCCAAAAACCCCTAGGAGTCCACACGTGGACGAGCGTCCAAAGATGGCCCAAAGAGGCCTCCTAGACAGTCTAAAGGACCAATACTACAGCCCAAGAGCACTCCAAGAGACGACGTGGTGATGCCCTTCTGGGGCGTCTTGGGGGCCGTTTGGAGCCCCCGGGGGGGCCTCTTGTGGTCTTCTGGGGGCCTCTTGGGGCGGAAAGCTCGAATTGTTGGTTCGCGTGCCCCCTCTTGGGCCTCTCTTGGGGCTCTCTCAGGCTATCTTGAGGCCTCCTGGGCCGTCTTGGGGCCACTATGAGCGCAGTCGTGCGACTGAGCAGGCGGCCTTCGGCAGCCCGAGCCGAGGGATGGCCGATGACGGATCGGGCGAGGAGGGATCCAACTGGGATGTCTGGGACGCACTTGCAGGAAGAAGGGGCGAACATGAGGCGGAAAGCCCTCTTTTCTGTTCTGTTTCTGGGCCCCGCGGAACGCGGGTCTCCATCGGCGTTCATGCTTCTGATTGCCCAAGAATGCCCATTGTGCTTTTTGTTCCTCTGAGAGGTGTACAAGAATATCAGACAATTTAGGTTTCAAAATGCCTTCGTCTGACGAAGTGTCGGTATCTGTGCGTGAATCGAAATCAGACTCTGCGGGTTGCCCCACCACTGCGGCAAAGAAAAAGATACAACAGTTCCGTCAAGGGCGGATCTAGCAGCACACTTACGGCAAGGGCGGATCCAACAGCACACTTAACAATATCATTCGTGCGCATGCACAAGGCGGAATCCATGTTTTTGTTTGCTGCAGTTCGAAGTGCCCTGCAAATCGATCGCCAGGGGCAATCGACGTACCCGAAGAAACGACGTTGGCAAAACAGGCAACCCGCGCAACCACACGAGTTGTGTCAGGCTGCGACTTGTTTGCCAGTCGCCTGGGCCCTGGAAACAATGTTCCTCGGCAGGTAGCTACCGCTAGCAAGTGGCAAGTGGCCAGTGGCTACGCTGGCAGGAGAAAACATAACGAGCGGGAGAAGTCGAAGGAGGCAAAGCAGGAACACTGCTACAATCCGGCGAAGGCCAATCGCACAACCATTTGCTCAAACTCAATGCGGCGCCGTGTACGTTTGGGCTTCGCAGGCGACAGTCACCATGAGACAGAGGCCGCCCGAATAAGCAGTCGCATCCTGCAGAGCAAAGATAGACCCATCGCAGTAACACAAGAACTCGGAACGAGTCCAAAACAAGTGCCCCAAGCATTGTTGCATGTGCTAGGATCATGCTAGCGGCTCCTGAGGGTTCTACTGGCAAGCTACTCAGGAATGCGGCCCCCGCTCTGTTTTTGATTCTTCAGGGTGTGGAGCAAACGGGAGGCTGCGACAACTTAGCTCGGGTTGCCGAGGAGCTTAGACACACATTGAGGTTCGTACAAACCTATGCCACATTTGAAAACTAACGAACACCAGCGGATGAGCCAGCGCCGCCACGCAAATGTACTGGATCCTTACGCCGCGCTTGTTCGGAGACGAACACTCAATGAGGGAGCAGCGCAAAGGAAACGCGTGTCTTAGGCAGACAACTCGCTGCCAACACAAACTTAAACATGCTAGACGCCACAATGATATTACAACATGCCCCCGAACATTCCATCCACCGTCGAGCCCGACGCGTTCGACTCCACCGCGAACCTCCACTTCACTATCTGATGAACTCATTCCTGCAGTCAAGGTCCTGCTTCCCGACGTGCATTGTGTCAGGCGCGCCAGGCAGATTGGGGTCGGCCCCCGCCCTCAACCTCTATGCGGGCGGGTGGAGTGAGGCAGCTCGGGAAACAACTGCTGAACGTGCTGTGCCTCAGCTGCTTGATTAAGATCTCCGGAGCCTCGTGCATCCACATGAACTCCTTCAGCACTGCAACGTCAGTCCTCTTGGCCTCGCTATGAAGCGTAAGACAGCCGAAAACGAACTCCTCGGAATTGGTGGTCCCACACTTGTCGCTGTCCAGGAGGCGGAAGAACTTGCTGAGCTGGTCGGGGTCCACGCCCAGCTGGTTGAAGTAGGTACCGATCTCGGGCTCCTTCACACGCATCTGCATCTGCTCCTGTGGAATTGTACCAGTGTTTTCAGCATCGAGCTCATCGAATATATATATATATATATATATATATATATGTCATGGTGGTGAGGTAATCCCTCGTTTCAATGAGCTCGCTCTGCACTTCCAGGCCACGGCCAGCCTTGCACAGCAACACGGTGCTCTCGAACATCACGGCCATGACGACAACATTCAGCCAGAGCACCTCCCTATCGACACCGCCAGAGGTCACCCGGAAGAGCCTCGGCGCGGCGTCGAACAACGAGCCGAACCGCGCCCGCAGGGGCGCCGCCGGCTCGCCCAGCGCCTCGTCCGCGGGTGGCCCGTGCTGCGTCAGGAAGGCCAGCGCCCCCTCGGACGGCACGGCGCCGAAGATGAGCTGGATCGCGAAGACCAGCAGGCTGGACCACGCCAGGGACTTCAGCGCTCCAGTGAGCGAGAGGACCGTGATCCTCGGCTCTCGGAGGGAGCAGTGCTGGCGGGTCACGCCGGCCACCACCACGACCGACAGCACCCGCGCCGGGCGCAGGGCGGACAGCCCCACGACCGCCACCCTGGGATGCCAGTGCGACCGCCTCTTGGTGCTGGTGTTGGTCGATGACCTGGAGCAGCTGTGGGATCACGACCGCGACCTGGAACGTCTGCCAGCCCTTTGCGGCCGAACGGATGGGGCCGAACCGGCCAGCCGCGAACCTCAGGCAGCGATCGAGGATGAAGGGTGCGCAAGGCATGTCCAGAAACACTATGAAACATACGGTGTCGCTGATGCCATCTGGGGTGCTGTGCAAGCTAGAGGTTGCACGATGCGCTGCATCGAGCATCTCCCACACAACAAGCACGGCATCCAGAAGTATCATTATAGCCCTGAACAACTCAAACTCGGTACGCTTCACTAGCCGTGGTATGACATCGGTCGAGGCTTGTCTTCTCGGAGAGAAGGTGTGGCTTAGCCTCGCTGATTCACCACGCTGGGTATTGCTCGGAATGCGCGGCGACCTTTTCTCTACCAAGGTATGCATCCAACTTGGAGTATTGCCCTCTGTCATGAAGGAGTTGCGTTCCGCCTTCAATCTTCTCATGGGGGTCAGCGTATCCATATTACCCCAGCCTATCCTCGATTAGGCAGCTGATTAGGCAGCTGGGTAGGACGCGAGAGGCGTTGCTCCGTCTCGGGACTGCCCCGAGAGGTCCTACGCGTCCTCTGATTAGGCAGGGGGTAGGACGTGAGAGGTGTTTCTCCGTCTCGACACTGGCCCGAGAGGTCCGAATCGTCCTCTGAATAGGCAGCGGTGTGAGACGTGAGAGGTGTTTGTCCGTCTCGGCATTGCCCCGAGAGGTCCTAGGCGTCTGCTGGATACCTACAGGGTGAAACAGGTCTTGTCCCTTGTCGGCGGATGCCAGCGTTGGAGGGCCAGGGCGTTGAGGAAAGCTGGTGGGCTTCAGCCGGATCTCCCGGTGCTTGTCGAAGACGGCCTCGACGTCGAGCCGAATGTTCTCAAGGGACTGGCACGCACGGGATGTGTCTGCAGCTGCGAAAGCAACACCTCCTTAAAACTGGACCTGGCGGACCAGCCGCGTCCACCAGGCTCTTGTCTACACGCCGGCTTGCTGATGAAGGCTGCCAGGAACTATCTGAAGGCAATCTTGAACAAACATGGCTACGGATGCCCTCTCGGGCCGTCTTGGGGCTCCCTTGGGGGCCTCTGGGGCCGTCTTGGGGGGGTATTAGGGGACCCGCTTTAGTTCGCCGGAAGCCCGAAAACGCGACAACGCAAACTACCTAGACCACATAAATGATTCACTGCGTGGACCTCCCCAGATGTGCAGCCATTCGCATGTATCGGTCCGCTGTGTCTAGGCGCAAGAGTTCTCGAATAAAACGGGCTTGAGTATTGACGGCCTGGGAGTGGATCTAACTGTGAATGAGTTGGAGTGTGAATGAGTCTTAGTAGTGCGAGCGCGTCTCTGAGCAGGAGCCTGGGACCTCCTGGGGCCTCCTGAAACCTCCTGGGGCTTCCTGGCGCCTGGCCTCGTGTGGCCTCCTTGGGCTTCGTGGGGCCTCCTGGGGCCTCTTGGGGCGTCATGTGGCCTCCTGGGGCCTCCAGGAGCCTCCTGGGGCTGAATGAGAGGAGGAGGAGGAGGAGACCGAGGAGACCGAGGAGGAGGAGGAGGAGGAGGAGGAGGAGGAGGAGGAGGAGGAGGAGGGGATTAAGGGGGGCTCTCACGCGCTCCCTGGCTCCAGCCGGGGGCGCAGTGCGCGGCGCCTCCGGGAGGGCCGGCAGGTCCTCGAGCGGCTCGCCGCCTCGGCGGGCGGCGGGGGGGGGGGGGGGGCGGGGCGGGCGCGCGGCCTCCCGCGCGCGGAGGTGCAGTCGCCGGGCGGCGCGCGGGGGCAGAGGAAAGACGAGCGGCACGCACGTGCACTCTGGGCGGGCCGCGCGGACTGGAGGGGTGGCCACGCCAGGTGCCCGGGTCGGCCCTCCCGCGCCGCCCCCCTGCTGGGGTGGAGGAGGAGGAGCGAGTGGCACAGACGTGAGTGAACTCTCGGAGGTCCAGCGCGGAGCCCGCGCGGACCTCCCTGGATCGGCGCCTCCGGCTCCAGGGAGGGGCTATAGGGCAACGTCAACGGGGGGCCAGCGCAGGGGGAGAGGCACCGAGCTGGAATCGGCGACACGTCGCCGACAGATCGGCAAGAGGCCCCGGGTAGCGAATCCGCAGGTTCCTGGGCGGAGTCGGCCATCGGGCCCCTATTGGCGATGAGTGAGCGACTGGGGGTCGATGCATCTCCCCGTGATCCTATTCACTCCTAGCGTTGCACCTGAAGGCGGAGATAGGCCAGAGCAGCCGGCAGATCGAACCGCAGCATCGGATCAACTCGATGTTCACGTCGGAACTAGAGGCCTCCCAACTGGGGTCCGAATAGATGGGGTCGAGGGATCGCGCCGCATCGCAGATGCATCGGCGATGCAACCGCGACGTCGGCGATGCATCGGCGACGTCGGCGTGAAGGGAACCGGGCTCCACATCGAGCCGCATCTTATCGCTGACATTTCGGCGATAAGGCGCAATCCTCTGACCCTGTCTACTCGGACCCATCTGCGAGGCTGAGAGAAACTGGCTGCATCGGCACGGACCGCCCTGGCCCATCACCCAAACAGGGGAAGATAACTATGCACATACACCGTTTTTGGCCAGGCCTATTCTTTCGGACGCCCGAACTGGGTACGGAAAAAATGGGTACAATGCCCAACAACAAGTGTTGTCCCAAACCAACAGCGGCCGCTGCTGGGCAGGCGGCCTCCTGTCTCGAATGGACACAGACCGCGGCGGCGTGGACAGCGAATCCTGTTCAAAATGAACAGGAACTGCTGTTGGGCGTTGTACCCATTCTTTCCGTACCGGGCGTGCAGAATTCTGAGCCCAAGATCGGTGAATGCGCCCGCCTGGCTTGGCCACGGAGGCAACTCCTCCGGTCCTGGCCCAGGATGGGCCTGGCCCGGATAGAGCTGCACAGCTCTGCTGCCCTCACCAGCCTAGGGGCGGCCCCCCCGCTCGGAGAGCGCGGGGGCCTCGCGGCGCCGTCGTGCTCGCCACCGTCGCCGCCGTTCGCCGCTCGTCGTCGCCTGCGGCGGCCGTCGCCGTCGCCGCCGCCGGCGCAGGCGCGGAGTCCAGCTCTAACCGAATCGGCCTGCGCCAGGATGCACAGCAGCGCCGTGCAAGCGCTGGGGCCGCACAGGATCGCCGCAGCATCGGGGTCGGATCCGGCCGCCCGAAGCCGAGGTCCGATCGGGTCGATCGGGTCGGGATGGAAACCCCAAGCAGGCGGGACAGTGGGGAAAACAGGAGGCCCTCCCAAATAGAGCTCGAGTAGATGGGGCAGAGGATCGCGTCGCATCGGCGCTGCATCGGTGACGTCGGCGATGCACCAGCGATGTCGACGCGGGGAAACTCCCACGAGCCCTCGGGACGCAGGTGGGTTGACGAACTTGCGTCTCCTCTCTGCTAAAGCCCCTCCTTCCCCAGCTCGGGGGAGGGGCTCATCACTATCCCCTATTAATATACACCTCCTCCCCCAGGCGACTGACAGCCAATCAGAAAAAATGATGGCCCACCCCCCACCATCCCCATCAAAAAACAATACAAGACGCACTCTGCCTCCACATATGGAGCATGCGCGGCCAACCCGATGCGGCCCACCCTACCATCCCTCTTCAAAAAACAAATCAAAATACACGTTGAAGTAAGGTCTGGAGACATGTTCTTGAGGCCCGCGAGCACTTCATATTGTTTTGTTGACCGGTTCGGCGGGAGTGTCAGCATATTGCCTGCTGCGCGCAGGGCTACCATACCTGACAAAAAAGCAATACAACATGCACCTCGCGGCTAAGTCTAGATCATGCGCGGCCGCGCCCCGCGATCACTGTCATGTGATGGCGTATGGCCTGCTTTGCGCAGGCCCACCAGGCACAATGATGGGCATTGGTTTTCGACTGGGATGGTGAGGGCAAACATGGTTCCCGATGTGTGCTGTCACGTGCGCAGGCGCACCTGACACACTCGGCACGTGCCCCGAACGTGGCACACCTGGCACGGCTGGAATATGCGTCACACCTGGCGCACGCGGAGGCACGTGGCGCATCTGGCGCACCAGGCGTGCCTGGCACGCTCGGGCCTCAGGGGTGCCTGGCGCGCGTGGCGGGCCTGGCACGCGTGGCGCGCCTCGTCCCGGCGTCGCGCACATGGGCTCGACTTTGGTTTCCAGTGGCTGCCCATCCAACGACGCCCGCTGAACATGCTGAGGCTCGGGTGTTACTTGTGTGTTGCGAGGGCGGGTGGGATTGAGCTAGGTGGGGTGCTATCTGGAGGGTGCCTTGACCCCTCCCCCTACCCCCTCCCCTGGGTTCAGGGGGCGATGTGTCAGATGGTGTTTTTTGATCCAAGATGGTTCCCAGAGGGTCTGAGCGAGTCCAAGACGGTCTCTAAAATGTGTCATGATACCTTAAGATGGTTCGATATAGCCTCCGACGCACATTCAAGAGGCCTCAACATGGCCCCACGACGGTTTCCAGCGCCCGCCGAGCCCTCCGAGGACCCCCTCCAAGAGGCCAAACTGGCTCCGAAACCTTGTGGAAATCAATGTTTTGTTCGCTTCCGATGGGCTTTGGAGGCCTCAAGATGGCTCCAAAATCGCTTAAGAGAGGCCCGAGAGCGTCCGCAGAGAGTCCCAAGAGGGCCCCAAGAGGGCCCCAAAGCGCTCAAAGAGCCGCCCAAGAGGGCCCAATGACGTTATATTTAAGCCCCCTCTTTTTGAACCCGAGAGGTCTCCCAGACCCCTTCATCGTCCTTTGAAAACCTCTCATCGACATATCTCCCAAACCCGACTCATCCTTATTTGTTCTCCTCCTCCTCCTCCTCCTCCTCTTCCTCCTCCACCTCCCCACATAATGGCCCAAGGTAGCCTCCGAGACGCCTCCAAGAAAGCCTCCGATCGTGTCTGGATGGGCTGCTGGGGCTGCGCGACGCGGCAAGAGTCGGGCCACACATCGAGCCGCACCGCCGATGCATCGGCGACGCGGCGCGACCATCCGACCCCGCCCGCTCGGACCCCACCCGGGGGGCCCCGGGAGAGGCAGCGTGGCACGAGGGAGGCGGGCCCCGATGGGCCACGGACCCGTGGAGGCCTCCGGCCCTTCTCTCGGGGCCCCCTCTCCTCCTCCTCCTCCTCCTCCTCCTCCTCCTCCTCCTCCTCCTCCTCCTCCTCCTCCTCCTCGTCCTCGTCCTCCTCCTCCTCCTCCTCCTCCTCCTCCTCTTCCTCCTCGTCTCAGCCTGAACGCGAACAAGGTTGTCCGCGCCACATGCCACTTGCGTCACCGCATGGCAAGAGCCAGAGGCGGGTGGCGCCTCCTAAACAGTGCCCAGAAATGAAAGGCGAGGCCAGCATACAGGCTGGCAGACGTGGAAGCCGCGCATCACGGCGCAGCGCTGCTTGAGAGCGGTTGCGCCACTCCAGCACGGATCAAGGAGGCCGTGCGCAGCGGATCCACGAGGTACCGCCACACGCGATTGACCTGGAAACGTGCAGGCGCACGCGTGAGGCCCGAGAGGACTCGAGCACCCCACGTGCCTGATGCGGGAGGGCCTCGACAACCCTGTGACAAGTTCGCAGGGATCTTGACCCCTCCCAGCCCGCACACAACACACACAGTACACCACAGCCTCCGCCCACCGTCCCCAATAACAGCGAAGGGGTGCATAACATGCTGCCTCTCATCCGCAAGCTGCACCCGTACAGAAGCGAGGTCTGCTCTCGACAGGCGGCCCTCCTCCTCTTCCCGGGGCCCAGGGCGGTCCAACAACGGCCCAGGGTCGAGTGCCGAGCTGGGGGAAAGGCCCAAGATCCGGTGGCATGCATGGGAGCCTCCCACACCACCTCGTCGGAGAGGACAGGACACGAGCCTGCGTGCCAACTCCCGGAGGAGCGGCCCCCTAGAGGGCAGGCGGCTCCCATACCCTCTTGTCGGCTCGTGCGAATCGACGCTAGTCGACGCTGAATCGACGCCAGTCGCCGCTGAACTGACGCTGACCAACGCAACCTCGGCACATCTCATCGACTCCCAAGCGCCAGTCGACGCTACATACGGAATGACGAGGGAAAACCAGTCAGACTCCAATG